ACATAGGTCGGTGGGCGAATCGAAAATTTCCTATGCCTTCGCTTCGGCTTGGCCTCCTGTGCGGATGGTCTACAAGCGTTTCCTAAGTTTTGTAGGGGGAATCGAAACAAAAATACTCCTGCAATTCTGTTGGATTTACTATAGCACTACTTCATTCCTTTCTGTCAACATCCTGAGTACTGTACGGTATAAAGGAGATGAATCTCGAATGCCAAAAAATGCACCAGCGTAACTTTTCTGCACCCCGTATTGAACTCCAAAGTAATATTAAGCCATCGTGGCATGTTTACTCCACAGCATAGGACCGTCTACTTTTCACAGCATCCTTATGCATTTTCCGACTGGTTTATTGTGGCATCCCAATACCCTTTAACTCCTAATTTTCTGCATTTTAATATAGTTGTTACAGGACTGCTTCTCTAGGAAACATGTTCGACCTACGTTCATCCAGCTGACAAAGCACTCGATTTTTACCCGCTAACGCAGCGTGATTCGGATAGATGGGACGAGTTAGCTTTTATCAGGAATATTTCTAGTATATGCGAAAATGATTGTCTAAAACTACCACCCTAAGAACTATTTGTGTACAATTCTGTATTCTCAACGTGTATGCAAATGTAGCATTTGGTAATGGAACCACCAGTCACAGTAGACACTGTAGAATTCAAACGTCTGGTGCGTTTGCCGTCCTTTTTTCCGTGTGCACCCCAGTCGGACTGAGCAACGGAATTATACACATATGGAACTCCGTAAAGTCGTTCTTAGATGGGCCCACGCGCATAGCACGAATTCTCTTAGAGGGAATTCTATCGGCCTTATCGCAGCACAGACTGTCAGTTCTATACGGTCTGGCAATGTCCGTCGCTGCAGAGAGTTAATGTACGGCAATCCGTCGGCTATCCACGGCAAACACCGAGTGGGTTTTAAGGTTACGAAGAGGCAGCCACCTCTCCATACTGATTAACAGAAAAAATATAGTCATCTTGGCTACCCCGCATTACGATCACGTGTCCGAAATACGAGACCTAGTTTCCGCCGAATACCCACGCGGCCAGCGCGCCCAAGTCACGCGCTTAGCAAATGCCGTGACCCCATCTTCAGCCTAGAACATATACGGTCCCGACTCATTAGTCTGCATATTCTTGGAATACTGGTAACTTAGGGACAGACTTAGTACCACTGAAAACTGGTGCCACAATGTTGCCGGAGCGTCCGAGGTCTGCGCCAAACTGATAAACCAACTTGGGACTGAAGTTACCCGCCGGAGCGTAGCAAAAACCTGCCAAGAGACTTCATACGGAGTGGCCAAACATTGAGTGCTGTTTACTGGAATAAACTGGTAATAAGTGCACTAAGGCCTTCGATTTACTGAAGATCTCGAACACATCGTGCAGCCCGAGTTCGCCCTACATGGGCAGCTGCACATCAAGAAATGAGCAGAAATATTAGCAACATGGTTTAACACCACTATCAGTAGAGATTCAAAAATACACCACTCATCCTTGACGATTTTGGTAGAGCGAACTTCGAAGCGTCGGTCTCTGGTTTAAGGGGTGACATTTTGTCCTACAAAATACAGTCGTGCATCCGTACATGAAGCCCACTGATCGGAGCCGGAGCCTTGCAGTCTTAGAACAGAGGGAGATCTCGGAAACTACTTCGTCTTCAAATTCAGTCGGACAGATACTCCATAAAGACATGGGGACAGAGACGATGTTAAGAGTGCAAACGCACCTCACTGTCTCTGTCCGTTACCAACTCTTGTTCAAGCTACCTTATGTTATTGTTGCTATAATTTAGCGGCAGATACTCATCACTGATCGGTATTACTTGATTTGAGTTCAAGCTACCAAACATTAAAATCTTCATTCCATGCCCCGACACAAACTCATGGAACTATGGGAGCGCCTACAGACTATTTTTCGGTATAATACCTTATTAATTGTGTTGGCATCTGACTGGGCGAAGAGGCAGCTAACTCGTTGACTCACGTTAAGGTAAGGGCAGGAGGCTTCTGTAAGTTAACCCAGAAGATGGAACCTTTGTTAGGAAGATTAACAGATATAGCAAAGCCTAGTGCAAGTGAATCCAAGTAGTTCAGTGCTCAGATGCAAAAGTTTGAAAAAACTGGGGGAAGGTTGTTGTGCGCTAGGTATCTATTGTTGCAAAATATGAGAATTAAGACGGCCGAAAATGAACTGTTAACAGTGCTTTTAATAAAAGAGGTCTGTAGTCAAAATTCATGTATTTGTACAAACTCAGGAGACACTCGAATAAAAAAATCAAACGCTTAATCCAAGTTTTTTCTCTGCGATCACGTATATAAGAAGACGCCACATCTTTACTACAAATACTTCAGCCTCTTCGTCGAGGACCTGCAAATACAAAAAAAGGATTGGTGAATACAAATCAAATATTGATTATTTAACGGCATATGAAAACAAAACCTACCATAGCAATTTCGGTAAGGATTTTTGTAGGTGGGTTGTGCTCCAGGACTTGCTCACATATAAAGTTGGACAGGGTGGCTTCCGACTCGCCAATGTATGCCACAATCTTCTTATCGACCCATGGCCTTATGCGGGTATTAACAAACTCCTAAAACAAAAGCACGGCAAACGTGTTTCCAGTAAATGAAAGCGTTTAATGCAAACAGAGACAACGGTTAAGTAGAAGAATGACAAGTGCGTCGTGTGTAACAAACCCGAAGGACAGCTTAACAAGCAAAGAAGACGATTTTAAATTTATGAGAACGTTTCCTTCCTTTCGGAAATTTCCAAAGTAACACAAGTAACATTTTAACGGAAATAAATGTTGCCGATTGTAGGGTGTCCAGTGGACCAAAGGTCCTTACAAAACGAGTCCGCTTTGGATCAGCAATTAGATTACAGAGAGGAAGATAAAACACCTAGTCATCTGTACAACAAAGGCACTACAGTATATAGGACTTGTGGTTCCACAACCTCGATAAAAGTAGTCCTTTTTAGCTATAACAGACTGAAAATTTAGTAAGTCCGCACGGATGACAAACATGCGCAGTCATGCAATATAGAACTGCTGGCCTGATATATGGCCGTGTGAACTTTCACGAACGTCATAGTCCGCTACAAGTAAGATTCGCCGAGCATTTAGAATGAGAATTTGAATGAGCCGTCAATGGAATAGCTTTATCTCGGATGTGAATTTACAAATAATTTGTGCAGCCGTTCATCATCAGAGCCTGACGGCCCTGCAACAAAGAACGCCTAATAATAAATTCTGACAGCAAAACTTTTGAGTAAAACAAGAAAGCGGAAGCCTACCGAGTCCACGATGGCCCAGTCAATGGGATACGCAAACAGGTCCTCCTTGGCTGTTGGAATCTGCTCTATTATACGCTTAATCACAGCCTTCTTTTCAGCAGTCGACAGCCGAGAAACGTGTGGTTCCTCCGGTGGTGGAGGAAGAGGTTTCTGTGAGGACGTTGCGGATGGCGGAAGCCAACTAAGAGTCGGTTTCGCTGCCCTCTGTTCCAAATCATCGTCGGCGAATGCGGCAGCGGGTTTTCGGACCGTATGTTCAGCTAGAAATTATAAGAAAACATATAAAGCACACCAGAATTTAAGCTTCCTATCCATAAAGAACTTAAGGTCTGTTTAATTTGCGTGGGAGGCTGGGTCGACAGACGAAACTCGCCGTTGGCATCGGTGTTCGGCTATTAAAAGTACAATTTTGCATATAACTGGCATAAACAGACCAATTTCCAGTCGACGTGTTCTTCGCTTTTGCAAAAGGTTAGTCGGAAACTGGGCGCCGTCAAAACCGTGTGATATATTTTCCAGAATGGGTGGCAGAATATAACCTTGTCAAAAGCCAAATCGGGTAGTTGTTAGAGGGAACTGCACCTGTGTAACTTGTAGTAGCATAGAATCGAAGTCAACAAAGTAGGTGAACTGCTGTTGCTGATAATCATAAGAGGATTCAAGAATGCACTGCAATTAGTACCTGATTGCTGCCTCCATTTCGAAATCAAAATCTTATTGGTTTCGCCTTTGCCTCGAGTTAAGCACACTGAAACGGGCTGGCAATGACAACGGCGAGGTCTTAAGCAGCAATTTCGAAAGGCTTGGTTCGCGATAACACTATCACAGTGACTTATCGCCCATCCAAGCTTTCTCGAGCAGGACATGGAGCCAGGCTGTCAGCGTTGGTACAATACTCGTAGATTTTAACAGTACGATTCACTTTGGGTACCCAGCTGATTTGCCGCCTCTGTATCGCATCGGCGAACTCTCCTTCAAACCGCGATAGCATGACACGTTTGAACGTGAGCAGCAGTTTAAACGTGCCAGTCATCTTAAGTCGACTTTGTGGGCATTTTTCTATGTTAACAGTCGTTGCGCAACTTTGATCCAGCCCTCCTATCGGGCAGTTATACAGTTTCAACATCGACAGCGGTTGGGTGTGTCCCCGAACTTGCTTAACCGTCTCATAGGCCGACGTGTTCAATCATGACTATTGGCTACTGCTTTCTCTGTTAGCACGGAAAATAAAAAATACCAGACTTCCTTACACCAGGACGGTTTCGGATTATCATGGGTTTGCAACATCAGGACGTTCTGCGTCTTTAAGTAGTGTGCGAGCGAAAGCATAGTCTGACCTATGGGTACTTCCAGTCTCGGCACCATGCCCCGATATGCTATCGTGAACCCAGCTGCTGTTCCTTAAGCGGACAAGAGTGTTGTCCATCTGACTAACCCTATGAACGTTGTTTAACTACCAAGTCAGTCAATGCCAGAAGCACGTGTTGGTGGCAACAGTACGTTCTGATCAGTTCAGCATTCCTTCATTGTCGCAAAAAGTCAAACCCAAAGCGGGTGATAAAGTGATCGTTTGAAAATTCCCTAAGCCCTGTCCCCGAGAGCAATCGGAATATCGCTCCATGGGAGTTCTACCAATTATTGCAGCTGAAAATGTATTTTTATTGAGCTTGCCGGCAGCTGATAGTGGTGCGTGCACAGACGACATCACATTATGTTACCAAAAGAGTCTCGTGGGTCGCCGTGATAAAGGGGGAAACTGAAGCTGACGTCCTGCAATTTTATTTCCAGAGCGCCTAAGACGGAGATTCCGACTTCAAGCGAAAATGCGAGTCCAGAGCAGTTGAGAAGGCGCG